CGTCAATAGTTTTTCAAATAATTTTTAATAATAATTTTTAAGAATAATTTTTTCGCGGAAATATTTCTTTTATACATATAAGATTTTTGTTCTAACAATTTATTTTATTTTACTAAAAATAAAGTTCCTTGTTAAACATTAAAAATTTATTCAAAACGTTCATTTAAGTTTTTTATTAATACGAGTGATTGTGCTTATCAACCGCTTTATAGAAATAAATAAATATTATATAAAATCGCTTGTAAAAATATTAGCTATTGCACAGTTTTTAATCGTACAATATTAAAATTTCCAGTTTATTACTCGCTGACTTTTTAAAAAGAAAAAATAATTATTTAAAACTTTAAATTACATATTTAAGGAAAAAAAAAATTAAATATAAGCATATTTTATAATCTTTTTTAAATTTAAGTTATGTTTTTTATTCATATAGTATAGACATTCGTATAGTAATAAACAAATGTTTTTACATTTAAAAAAACAAAACATTCCAAAACATTTTTAAATAATAACATTTCTACATAAACGATTTAAAGTAGTTTTGCAGTAATTAAGTAAATTGGTGCAGTTAATGTCGATAAATATGAAAAGCAAATAAAAAGAATTTAATGACATCAAAAATCACGTTGTGCTTATGCGTATCGCAGTTCTTTTTCATCGCAAGGCCTGATATATATATATATATATATATATATATATATATATATATATATATATATATATATATATATATATATATATACATATATATATATATATATATATATATATATATATATATATATATATGAATATATATATATATATATATATATATATATATATATATATATATATATATATCAGGCTTATACGGGAATGGCGTGCAATTACGCACTTTGTTTGGCTACGCACATAAAAAAATATTTATATAATTTGACCACGGTTGCTTAGACGGTTTTTACAATATGTTAGGTTTTTTTAAAGCAGTACAGAAATGCGTTAAAAAAATATTAACAAAACTAAATTAAAAGGAACATTAAATAAACTTAAAAAAAAAAGAATATTAACAAAAAAGATAAAAAAAAACTTCAACTAAACTAAAAAAAATCGAACTCGAGGCGATAGTTTTTTTAAGTTACGTTTTTACGGTTTAAATAATTAACTTTAATCTTCTGTGATGTTTTATAAAAGTTTCAGAAACGCTTTTACAAATCACTTTTAACGACCATTTAATAAATAAACAAAGTATTATATATTTTATTCAATTATATACATAAACATATATATATATATATATATATATATATATATATATATATATATATATATATATATATATATATATATATATATATATATATACCAAATATTTAATAACTAAATCTTTTTTAAAGTCTTTTTAAAATAGTAATTTTCAATCGTTTCAAGCAATGATTAGTATTAAAAAAAAAAAGCAATTAGAAATAGCTCTTACTAAGCAAATTCTTTCAATTATTACATTATTACAATGCAATATTATAATTTCATTAACAAAAGAAATTAGGTTATTAAAGCGTTTTACAGCAAGTGGAAGCTTTGTACAGATTAAAAATTAAATATAAGTTTAAGTATTGAAGGTTTAAAAAATGGCATCGGCGGCAAAAATAATTAAATTTAATAAGCCAATAGCAAAGAGCTTAAAAATATTTCTGTTGTGGGGAAAGAGGAATTTATCGGTTACACTGAAGAAAACGGATTAGTTATCAAAATATGGTGTAAGGTTTGCGCAAGAAACAAGTAAGCTATTTTAAGTGATCGTTCAGTTAGAGGAGTAGTGGTTGGTTCTTTGGAGGCGTTTATTGAGGGAACTAGTGTGTTAACAAAACATCAGGTAAGATTAAAATTAAAAGCTCATTTGGATTTGCAAATACAGTAAATAATTTCAACTACGTTTTTACTTACTTTATTCACAAATATTTAGTACAATATTTTTTCAACGATAATTTATAAATTTGTCTTGATATTATGTTTTTAATTTTTAAATTTTGATTTTTAAAATAGGTTGATCGTCATCTTGAAGGTCATATCCATAAACTGGCGCTGGAAATCGATAAGAGAACCCCAACTGAAGAAGCTGGAATAGGCCACATTATAAATCCAGATAACCAGAACTCTTTATATAATAAGCAAAACATTCGCGAAGCGTATTTTAAGATGATAAAAACAGCATACGAAATGGCTTTAAAACCAAGCATGCCCTATAGTCATTTTGAAGTACTTATCAAATGCCAAAGACTTAATGGTGTGCAACTTGTAGAAGGAAAAGGCCACAATCGAGCAGGTAATTCATTTTTTAAATTAATTTGATATTATTTAAGAAATTAACAAAGATCAAATTAAGTTTCATTTATATTTAGCATGTCAATTTATCTCCTGCATTGCTAATGCCATTAAAGAAAAAATTGCTAAAATTGTTAAAGAGAAAAACTTTTTCTCCATACTTTCTGATGGCTCTCAAGCACGAAAAACAAAGGATGAGAAAGAGTTGGTTCTTGTTCGTGTTGAACGAGATGGCATACCTGCTTATCTTGTAGTATCTTTACTAAAGATGAACAATTTGGGTGGTGTGAACGCTAATACCATTAAAAAGGCTATTGACAGCATTTTTAATCAATCAGGAAATATTCCTTTAACTGCAGATGCATATAAAAATAAACTTGTCAGCGCTACTTCTGACGGAGCTAGCGTTAACTTAGGCATGTATAATGGGGTCTTAACTCAAATGAAAAACAACAGAACATGGCTAGTTAAAATGCACTGCGTGAACCACCGTTTGGAACTGGCAATTAAAGATAGTGCAAGAAATATTGTTCAGTATAGAGATTGTGATCAATTTTATACTACCATCTTCCATTTATTTCGCAATTCTGGAAAATTAAAAAGTGAAGTTAAAAAAGCAGCAGAGGCACTAAATATTACATATTACACCTTGCCCAAAATATCAGGAACGCGCTTTGTCAGTCACAGAAGACGAGGATTGACAAGATTGGTACATAACTGGCCTGCAATTATTGTAGGCTTTGACAACGCACTTGTCAATCGCGATACCACAGCAGAAATGCGCGCTAAACTTTTCGGAATCTCCAAACGTTTGCATGACTACCGACTGTTATGCATGTTTTGCGGTTACTTAGACGTCTTAGAGAAATTGAGCCCGTTATCATTGGTTTTCGAAAAAAAAACGTTGTTGGTGCACGAGGTAAAACCAGCCATAGATCTAACTAAGGATTACTTGGTTGAACTAAGTAATGAAACAATAGACGATATACTTGATTCATATTTACTAAAATTTAGAATCAAGTACAAAGATGATACAACTACTCTTGTTTCTTCTTATTTCAAAGATGGCCACAAGTTAAAAACAACAAATGCAGAATTTGTTGACATTGAGCTTTACGATATGACTAACATTAACTTTGATAGTATTAATGCTGCTATAGAAGTTAGAAAAACTGCAGTCAACATCATTAAACCATTAATAGACGATAGATTTAGTTCGTTGTCAAACACGGTCTTTGAATCAATGAGTTGGTTGGATCCCCAATTTTGGACAGAAGACAATATGTACGGCGATGCTAGCATCTCTTTATTAATAAGGGAATTTAAAATTCCTTTAGAATATGCAGGATTAAAAGTTGAAATGGTTCTCTCTGAATGGAATGCTTTTAAATTATTAATAAACACAGAGTATAAAGGAGTTACAACGGCGGTGCTATGGGAGAACATTTTTGTTTATTATAGAAAAACTTTCCCGAACCTTCTTCTTCTTGTTGAACTAATAATGTTCATTTCTTGCTCAAACTCGTCTGTGGAACGGATTTTCAGTATACTAACCCTGATACTAAGTGATCGTCGTTTAAAAATGAGCCACCAGACAATGGAAGACGCAATATTGATAGCCGGGAATGATCCAAATTTTACCGTAGAAGAACGAGATGATATTTTGAATAGTGCCCTCAATATGTACCTAAATAAACGCAGGGGGGTTCGCCTTGAATCAATGGAGAACGCTGATGCTGCACTAGAAACAATCGATAGTTCCGACGAAAGCTCCATTGACGACGAATATAGCTCAACATCTGAATCGGACTATTAAAATTATTGTATTTGTCTTCTCAATTCCGTTTTTTTTAATCCAACAAAATACATTTAAAAAAAATCAGAGCTTTTACATTTATCATAAAATATACATGCATGTCGTCCATAAAGGCTGTCACAAAAAATATTAATTATGAGTAAAAGATCATTAACTCTCTTCCGCGGATATTTTCATTCAAAAATAAAACGCTATAATACTTTTAAAATCACTGCGCGCGAGTACAAATAATTTCTATTAGTTCAACTGAGCGTGACGTCTATTTTTGTTGACTTCTTATACAATAAAAAAAAAATTCAAATAACATTCTTGGATATTTTAAATACAAAGTGTCCACTTTTAAGAATCATTGCAAGTAACTAATTGATTTATTTAAAAATATTTTATATATCGTATTTTATCATTATAGTTCAAAAAAATAGTTGAACATATGCGTTCTTATCGTCATTTATTGACTTAATAAACTATCTTTCAGAAATATATTTGTTTGAAAATAATTTTAACATTTACATTTATAAAAAAAACATGTTTATAAATATAATCAAAAAAATGTCTTATAAAAGCATTCTTTAGAAGTAAATTTATATTTGGTTCAAAGACTTTATGTAAACTTTAAGAAGGATCAACTAAGTTTTTTCTAAAGTCATTCAAAAAGTTTCGAGCTTATTTGTTCTTTTCGTAAATTCACTAAAAAAATAATTTTTCAAAAACAAAGATTAAAAAGTAAAAACATAATAATACTTTCAGGCATTTAAAAAAACATAATTATATAAATAAAAAAAGAATATACGATATATATACTTTGTAATTATTGTTATTCAAAAATCTTCACGTAATATAAAAGTTTTTAAAAAGATCAACGATCAACTTGAAATACAATAAAAAGTTATTTCTAACGCTATTTTAAACAGTTTTTTATCGACTCATTTCTAAAACTTAAAAGCAACCGTGGTTATATTTTCAAAAATATATATAATATGCGTGGTCAAACAAAGCGCGTGATCGCACGCCATTCCCGTCCAAGCCTGATATATGAATATATATATATATATATATATATATATATATATATATATATATATATATATATATATATATATATATATATATATATATAAATATATATACATATATATATATATATATATATATAAATATATATACATATATATATATATATATATATATATATATATATATATATATATATATATATATATATATACATATATATATATATATATATATATATATATATATATATATATATATATATATATATATATATATATATATAAATATATATATATATATATATATATATATATATATATATATATATACAGGCTTCGGCAGGAATGACGGGCTATAGCCCGTGTCCGTCTCCGCACCCGTCTAAGTCAGTTTAGATGGGCGAAATAAAGCCCGTCTGAAACATAAGTTTTGTGTAAAAAAAAAAGATGAATATTTTGATGTTTTTTTATTAAGATACTCTTTTAAAACTTCTCTCATGACATAATTTTAATATGGATAGCAAACTCCAACTTATAATTGTTTATATTTAAATATAAAAATTAAACAATTTAATCATTATTGTATAACTCGATGTAGAAAATAATATAACTAAATCTTACAGTTTTTTAAACGACAATAACTGTTTGATATAATACCAAACAGTTACCATATTATGTTCAAAATTTAATTACTATTATATTAAATAGGGAAATATACACATGTGATGCACAAGAAGTATCATGTTGTTTTGGTTTTTCAATGTTTATAATAATAACGATAATAAACTAATTATCCATGTATTACGCTTTTTTCCGATAAACTAGTTTGTCTTACTTTAAAGACATTTAAAGTGATATTTCCGCGTTAACTTCCGCGTTAACTTCACGTTTTTTCTTAAAGAGACGGCAGTTTATTTAATATGCAATTATATAACTCGTTATTGAAAATGAAATATCTCATTAAAAATCAACAAACGTCAAAATCAATTTTTGTAGATAATATAAATAGTGTTGCTTTATAGTTATGAAGTTATTCAAGTTATCCAGTCATTCAAGTTTTTCAAGTTATTCAAGTTTTTCAGTAAAGATAGTAATGGCATCATCTGGTAGAAGAGTTACATTAGCAACATTTTTGAGTTGGGGTAAAGATGGAGTCTGTGGAAAAGAAACTGAGGTGGAGAATGGAACAATTTTTTTTGTGAAGATATGGTGTATGGTTTGTATAAAATATAAAAAAGAATTGCTTCGCGAGTTAAAAGGTCTGGCAAAATCAAAAGCATTAGCATTTATAGAGGGCACTACGAACGTTAAAGCTAGCAACATACATACGCTTATATACATGCTTATATTGTATATAAAGTAACGGAAGCCCCGGTATCTTAAGAAATTATTAGTACTTCTAAATAAAAACTTATTTTATTAAAAGAAATTAGATTTCAAATTTTTTATTCACGTATCAGAATAACTTTTTCCGATCAGGATAGGCATAGGTAAAGCAAAGTTATAAAAATATAAATAACAGTTTAAGTTTTTAATTTGCACGCCCAATAGAATGCAAGAGTATATAAATAATTGAATTTGAAAAATAACATAGTTACGTATCATATTACCAAGCTAATACCAAACAATTCTAAAACTATCAAGCTCATTGATTCAAGGTTAAAAAAAAAAAAGATTTCAAACTATTTGCTGAATAATTAAAAAAATTAGATTTTGAAAATATTATGTTATATTTTTATTCACAAAGAATAAGAGAAACGAATGAACTAAAAAAGCACGATAAAAACCTGTATAATTTAATCGAATACTTAAATAAAACAATAATATATAAATATACTCAAAAAGACTTCGGTAAAAAAACGAGTTAGGATGCTTGAATAAGGAAACGTGATGAAACGCCATGGTTGTTTCGAGGATTTTTTCCCGTCGTTTTCACGTTCATTCGTTTGACTATATCTGCCAGATATTATCTGGAATAAAGATTAAAAAAAAAAAACATAAAAAACTGAATAAAGTTCCTTCGAGTAAGAAATTTAAACAAAAGCAACCATAAAACAACTAACCCACGTGAAACGAAATTAGATCTGTGCAAGTGAAAACTTTGAAAAACAATTATTGAAATCTTAGTTTTAAGTATTATCCAACTCATTTACGGCAGTGTTTTAATTACTTAAGTAATTAAGCATTTTAAACAGTTAATCGCTTTCTAACATATTATTTTAGTGCAATTCACAAAATGTTTAATATTCAATGACATTTTCATTCAAAAAGAAGAAGAGAAATTAACAAATTTAAAAAAAAAAAGTTCAAACTTTAGAATTTTTTTTAAAGTTTAAAAAAGCCCGTGCAAGACCATCTAGACGAGCGGCCCTCATTGTTGTTTTTAAAGACAAACAAAACTCTACTTTTGTCCAGTTCGATATCGAAGAGTTCTATCCTTCTATCTCTAAAGAATTACTTCAGGGTTCACTTATTCACGCCAAACAGTTTACGGAAATCTCAGAAAAAACATTAAATATTATAAATCACTCAAGAAGATCTTTACTGTTTACTGAACACAATAGTATCTGGGTCAAAAAACATGGAGATCCTAATTTTGACGTCACTATGGGAAGTTATGATGGGGCTGAAGTATGTGAATTAGTTGGCCTTTTCATTCTTCATACTCTAAGTCAAGTCTATGGGTTGCAAAACGTCGGATTATATAGAGATGACGGCCTTTGCTGTTTTCATGGGATTAATGGGCCGCAATCCGAGAGAATCAAGAAAAACATCGTTCATCTTTTTAAAGAGAAATTTAATCTAAAACTTACAATAAAAACCAACTTAAAAATTGTAAACTTTCTCGATGTTACCTTCAACCTGACAGAAAATACTTTCCAACCATACAGAAAACCAGGTGACCACCCATTATGCATCAACGCAAGTTCTAACCACCCACCTAGTATTATTAAATCTATAACTTCTATGATATCTAACCGTATTAGCAATATTTCATCTAGCATGGAAGTTTTTAATATAGCATCACCATTTTATAACAATGCGTTAACAGCAAGTGGGTTTAATGAAAAGATTAGTTTTCAAAAAAACCTTACCTCATCAAAACCAAAATCAAGATCAAGAAACATTATTTGGTTTAATCCTCCGTTTTCACAAAATGTAAAAACCAACATCGCAAAAAATTTTCTAAATCTAATTGAAAAGCATTTTCCAAAAACACATAAGTTTCGAAAAATTTTTAATAAGAATAATTTAAAAGTTAGTTATAGCTGCCTTCCTAACATCACCAATATTATTAATTCACACAATAAAAAAATATTATCTAATGTTTCCAACACAATTGTTCCAACATGTAACTGCCGGCAACCTTCTCAATGTCCTTTGCAAGGTATGTGTCTCAGTAAAAATATAATTTACGTCTGCAATGTAAAAACATCACTGCAGGATAGTGGTCTTAATTATATTGGCCTAACGGAACACACCTTTAAAGATCGCTGGTACAAACATAAAAATTCCTTTCAATACGAAAGTAAAGCTAACACCACAGAACTTTCGAAATATATCTGGGAAATGAAAAAAAAAGGGATTTTCAAATCCTATTCTTACGTGGAAAGTTATTGATAGGGCGAAACCATTTAAACCTGGAGGAAAGTTATGTAACCTTTGCTTAACCGAAAAATACCATATCATCACGTCATCTTTGAAACTACTGAATAAACGAAATGAACTAATATCAAAATGTCGCCACGAAAACAAATTTGTTATTTGCAACTTTAACGTCATCTAAGCTAACACTGTATTGTATTTTTGTATATAATTTTTGTTGTTGTTACGGTTGTTTGTAACGTCTGATGATCGCATAAAGCGTGAAACTCCGAGTTATGTTTCAAATCTAATTGTATTTATTATATATATATATATATATATATATATATATATATATATATATATATATATATATATATATATATATATATATATATATATATATATATATATATATATATATATATATATATATATATAGATATATATATATTTAGGTGTCCCAAAAAACAACATTTTTGAAAATAATCTGCTCTTACCCCCTAAATGTGTTCTATCTAATGCAAAAACACTAGGTTTAAATTTTTTTTGATTAAAAAATATTTTAAGGGATCCCTTGAGACCCTCGAATATTTAATAAGTCCCTAATATTTTCGAAAAAAAAGTTTTTCAAAAATGTGTCAACCTGGTACTCAAATGAAGCGAAATTTTATAAATATTTTAAAAATAATATTCATTTCGAAATATTTTTAACTTATTTATCAAAATTATCATAAAAAAACATTATAAATGCATTTCTCTCATTTTTCCTTGAAAAATTCAATTTTTTATGTAATGAAACCTAAAATAATAATTTTGTTACGAAATGAATATTATTTTTAAAATTTTTATATAATTTCGCTTCATTTGAGTACCAGGTTGACACATTTTTGAAAAACTTTTTTTTCGAAAATATTAGGGACCCATTAAATATTCGAGGGTCTCAAAGGATTCCTTAAAATATTTTTTAATCAAAAAAAATTTAAACCTAGTGTTTTTGCATTAGATAGAACACATTTAGGGGGTAAGAGCAGATTATTTTCAAAAATGTTGTTTTTTAGGACACCTTAATATATATATATATATATATATATATTCATATATATATATATATATATATATATATATATATATATATATATATATATATATATATATATATATATATATATATATATATATATATATATATATATCAGGCCTTGCGATGAATAAGAACTGCGCGACGCATAAGCACAACGTGATTTTTGATGTCATTAAATTCTTTTTATTTGCTTTTCATAGTTATCGACATTTACTGCACCAATTTACTTAATTACTGCAAAACTACTTTAAATCGTTTATGTAGAAATGTTATTATTTAAAAATGTTTTGGAATGTTTCGTTTTTTTAAATGTAAAAACATTTGTTTATTACTATACGAA